TTCATTTGCGAGCTTGGGAGGAAAAGAAGGCCACCAAAAATTGATTACAGGGACTACCAAAGTTGCACCAGCTATCCTGTTTCAGAAAGAGTTTTCAATATTCCATCCATTTCTTTTAAAACACTGCAAATTGACATGAAAAGGGAAGAAAGCATGACGATTTAGAATAACATGCCTGTGGGGAATGTACTTGAGGCATGCCCAAATGGAATAAGCCCCAATGGAGACACCAATCACATAAAACTTGGCCCCTAATTGGAGCTGGTCAGCAAGTTCTTGAATATCAAATGCCTCACTCTTCACTGAGTGATTTGGGTTTGGATCACTCTCTCCATAGCCAGCTCTATCAAATGTTAAAACATATAACCTCATTTCTTCCATCACATCCTACATGTAAATAACCAGTCCCATTCATTAAATATTATTCTTGGGCCCTCATCTGACAACTTAAGCTTAATCTTTATGTAAAAATAAAATTGCTCTCGACTGTGACTATGTTCTAAAAGTAGTCATGTTACATCTAAACACGATCAGACATAATTGAATGGGTTGAGTCAATTCGGTCCAAATTCTGGGCTGGACCGAGCTTCATTAAGCCCAAACACTGCAATTTGATTCATATCTCAGTCTCTATGTTTTTTTATTTTTATTTTTCCTTAAATGCGAAATTTAGTCCTTTAACTTTTAAATTTAAATAAAATTTATCCTTAATTTTTTTGCTTTTTTTAAAAAAAATTTTCAACTTTAAAAAATGCATATCTTTTGTCTTCCCATCCATTAGTCCATTAAATTTGTTAAAACACTTATATTTTTAGTCTCAAATTTATAATATATGTAAATTTTTAGTTTCTAAACTTATAAGTTTAGAGATGTATGGTTAGATATATTTAATAAATTAATTGATGGAATGATTAAAAAATACATTTTTCATAGTTTATGAATTAAAAAAGCACGAAAATAATTTAGAAACTTTAAAATATTCAAAAAATTTGAAACACCAATTTGATCTCTCAACTTTTGGATTTATATCAAAATAATCTTTAAACATTAAAAATACTAAAATTATCCCTAAACTTTAATTTTGATACCAAAATAATCCTTTCATTAAAGAAAATATCACGTAACTCATTATTTTACTATAAAATTAGTTCTTTTTTACAATATTAAAAACAATTATTTTTTGCCATTGTAATATATTTTCATTTATACATCAAAATTAACATAGTCCTTGAATTTTGAAAACAAATACTAATTTTGTCTTTAAACATTGATTATAAGTATCAATTTTGTCCATCAACTTTGATACCATGATAGTAAAATATATTTACATGATTTTACACATCATTAATATTTTAAAAGACAATTAATTTTGTGGCAAAATAATGAGTCACATGGCACTTTTGTTAACAAAAGACCGATTTTGGTATTAAAAATTAAAGTTTGTGGACAATTTTAGTATTTTTTTGAAGTTCAAAAATAATTTTGGCACAAATCTAAAATTTAAGGGACTAAATTAGTATTTTAACCTATTCAAAATTAAAATTTTAAGGATTAAAATTGATATTTAACCTTTTTATCTCAAGTTGGGTATCTTTTTTAAATAATTCCCACACTACTAGATAACTATCGTAACTATAAAAAAATGTCAAGTAATTTTTTA